ATATATATATATATATACTAATTATAAATCTTTATGTTCAGTTGCAACAGTTCCGCAAAGCCACCGGCACCCATAAAGGTTATTATTGCTGGCGGAGATAGTTTCATAAATGCAGTTCTCCGTCATTATGTCGATTTGTTGAGCTTCAGACCACCAGACTGGCAAAACTACATGAAATTCTTAGTGGTTCCACTCGGTTCAAACACATTAACGCGATACCTTAGTTCTATTGATACCAAGTATTCGAAGCTTTTTGGAGATGAGTGGAAGGAGCTTTTAGAAAGAGAAGGTGGAGGATCGAGCGAATGTGCGGCACGAGCATCGGAATATCTGGCCACAGCAAATACAATTCTACTACTACCCATAGCAGAAGCTATGGTTACATATAGGTAAGCGATGTAAATTTTTTTTTAACGATTTTATGAACAGGCATATTAGAAAAAGATTGATTATATTTGTAGGGAAACAGACGACAGTAGCCAAATCTTTATTCCCTTTATAAATGACGTTCGTGTGGGTTGCCCAGAGAGTAGTTCTTCCACTTCTGTCGACCTGGAAGAAAGCAATGTTAGTATGTCCGGTTCTCCGCCTTCCTTACCTCCTCCAAGTTTGCCTGTTCCAACTCCCGGAAAATTGACACCACCTAGTAGTCCTAACGTCGGCCAACCTGCGAGGGAAGGATGGGAACCAGTGGAGCTACAACTGGATTATTGGAGTAAACAGACTCAAGGTGAAAAAGGAAAGAGTACGTTACGTCAAGCTTTCAGAGCGTTGCATGTGCAAAGACTTCCCTCATTAGGCGAAATTCCAGGACATCACTTGTCTATGAATTTCACGACAAAAGAGAAAAAACAAAAAAGTAAGAACAAAATTAAACTACTTTCAGAAAAAATGCGATTAATTTTAATTAAAAAATTAAAATATATAATAATGTAATAAATATATAAGATCAACTCTAAAGGAAAATTGTCTTCTTTCAGTAATGAGATTAGGTAAAAAAAAGGAAAAAGAGAAAGAAAATGAACCAAAAAGTCAATCGGTGGATGGAGTGACACGTCTCATATGTTCTGCGAAAACTCACAACATTCCATTAAGAGGTAAAATTTTTTTATTATTATTATAAATTTTTAGAATTTTATTACAGATTATACAAATAATTTTAAGTATACATTAATGCAATATACAAGGTAAGGATCCCGGATTGAAATATCTCGAAAACTAAAAATTTCCGAAAAAAATGTTTCCTACAAAAGTTATAGAGTTTTAAATGATCTATTCACTGATCTTTCAGAAATATTTAGTTTTCAAAATATTTCATCAGTCCGGATGAAATTTTTTATTCACCTTGTATAATATAAAATGAAATAGAAGATTTGAATGTCGCAAAAACTTACCTTAGTTTTATTATTATTATTATTGCTTTGATTAATCAATAATTTAAAATTTACATTAATAATTGCATTGATCAAAATAGCGATATTATTCTTATTACAGTGAGTATTGATGGTACCGAATGGTATGGTGTAAAATTCTTCCAACTATCGGCGCAATGGCAAACGCACATCAAGACGTTTCCAATAGCATTATTGGAATATAATCCGCAACAACAAACTTCGACTGCTACGTAAATTTCTGTTATTACAGTATTTCTATTAATCAAAGCTTCTAGCGATTTATGCATTTTGCACCATCATCATTAAGAATAATTTGACTTGTTTTATACGCAAACCCGATAACCATTTACTTCTTAAGACTGCTCAGTAAGAATTAAAATTTAGAATGCTATGAATTCTCATACTCGAAATGCCCATTACATTCATTCCATTATTTAATAATAACGATGGAAATATATGAATGTTGGAATATTCTTATATTATAAAAAAAAGTTGCATGTAATAAGCATATATTGTTCATAAGCAATTTATGCAACATGTCCATAACAGACTGGAAAGTTATATATTGTTATATATATGTTATAAAATATAATCTGTATATGCAACTTTTATAAAAATTTCTCAATAAGTATATAATTTTATCTCACCAATATGACATAAGTTATATATATTCGTTCATGACATATCACAATTAGACCGAGAATTTTATTTGAGATTTTGCTGGTTATGGGAATGCTATTATAGAACACATATTTATGGAAACATGTCTACTCTAATTCAATAAATACTGAAATATCTTAAATATTAAGATTTAGATATATTGCAAATTTAAGTTTTATTAATGTAAATGTAGTTTAAAAAATTATATCTTCTATTACTTTACATATTCACATTTATTTAATACTAATGTTTATTAATTTCATAAGTATTAATTTGTACGAATTACCAGAATCCAAAATAATCTAAATCTTATTGTTCAAAAATATTTCAGTATTGTGTTAAAGTGATGTGCAATATCATTATTTTTTTTAATATAATTAATATAATTTTTTTTAATATAATTAATATAATTTTTATCCTCAAATGAAGGATAATTCCATTGCAAAAATCAATACGTTTATCAATACTATTTTTTATTTAAATTATATACATAATACATATTTATTATGTACATATAAAAATGTATGAATCTGTTACAATTTTTGATTGACAGTAAAATATTCTAAGTTTAAAAAATTATTTTTGATAAATATCCAATATGAAAATATATATATGAGTCTGTAAATTTTGTGATACCATTTTTTAGAAACAATTTAAATGTGATATTCTCTCTTGCTATTATTATGTCTATCCTATTAAAATGTTAAGAAAGTTTTTAGTATTTTGAGTATTGAAATAATAATTCATAACAGATTATACGACTCATCCTGTATATATTTTTTTTGTATATCATTATTTTATTACAAATTCCGGATTTCGGTATTTGCAAAATAAAAATTAGAGATTCTACTGTTACATAGAATACTACTAATGATGATTCTGTTTTCTTTTCAAAATTGATGACTACAGTCACAATAAATTAACATCAGAAACGAAAGTTCTATAAATATGACTTTTAAACAAATTTTATTTTGATTTTATTTTGAATTACAACTGCTTGCTAAGAATTATTTGCTGTAAATCAAATAGAGCAAAACTTAAAACAATTTTGCAATAAAATGCACCTACAACAATAAAAGATGAAAGAACTGTTATAATATTGCATATCTCTGTCAAAAAAGAAACGCTCGAAATCTGAAATTTAAAGTGGAACTTACTGTATATACATGTTTGAACAATAAGAAATACGCAGATATTATGCGTTATTACTGAAGAAGTCTGTGATACAGGCAAACATTTTTTTCAACGCACAGAATCAGATGTATGTGTGCGATGTACTGTCTGTTTGAAAATTTAACGGAAAATGAATATAAGAAAACATGAGGATAATAATGAATTATGTAAATATAAAATATTTATAAAAATACTCATTGGGTACACCAATGTTTTGTCATTTAGGTTTCCGAGATACTTTGTACTATTTAATCTGAAGTTAAGGGAAATATTCTGCTTTTAAAAATGTATAAAAATTTCAAATTTAAATATGTATTTTTAATTCATTTTTCTTAACTTGTATTAGCGTATCAGTTTTATGTAAATTCTATTTTTCTATAAATGTGTACGATTGTGATTTCTCTATGAAAAATTAAGATAAATTAACTAAGAATATTTATATATATTATACAGCTTTTTTAATCTTATTCTATAAGAACTGAAAATTTCTTCCTTTTACTCGAACGAGATCTATAAAATTTTTTTTTCTTTTATATCTATTCTCTTATATTTGGAATTATATTATCAAAAAGATGTTTGAATATTTTTAATTTGTGAAATTAATGCTACCGTCAGAAAGCAAATGAAAATTTTCTTTTAACCCTTTCAAGAGAAATTTCATAATTGAACTAATATGTAACAATGTGATAAGATGTGTACTAATTGATATGAAATTGTTAAGTGTTAATTTACAATATGATTAATTTAGCTAGTAGCACGTAAATATTTTTCTATAGTTAATAGACATTTGAAAAATTCTACAAAAATGATTATTTTGAAATATCTATTTTGAAATATCTAGCGTCTCTCTAATTTGAATGTGAAATCATTTGATCTTCAAAATCAAAAGATCAACTGTATATAATTTTTTTTAATGAAATGATATATATTTATTTCACTTAAACCTATATTATAAGTATATTATTATCTTCTAAAGGCGTTAAGAAAAAGTTTTATTAATGTGAACATAATCCTAATCAGCTTTTTATTTTCTTCCTTTTTTCATTTGATAAAAGGAGCAACAGTATAGATAATAAAATACTGTTTCTGGCGACGTAGTTGTCGCTTTGACTGCCTAATGCCAAATTAAAAGAAAAAAAATGCCTACTCGATTTGTTTCCAAATGTATAAAAAGGAAAAAAATATTCTTTAACAGCATCTAGCTTCTAATAGTGCGACTAAAAACGATGGCACTGATTATGTCTTGCCAAAGTATACAAACTAGCAGTGAAATATCTCCATTTGCACTCCTCTTTTTGCTAGTCCGCAATTAATTGTTAATGCGTATCAAGTGTGATATAAGTGGTCGTACATTTTACAGCTTTTATGCCTGCTGACAAACAATACTGTTCATACAATCGAGTATCAAAAATAATAATTCCTGATATATCGAAAATGATATATTAAGTAATGTGTGGCCATAACAACATAGTCTTTCACGGAAAATTTGCAGCAACTATTGATAATTACAATAAATGGTACACGATATTAATGAAACTTATTTCAGAGAACGAATTATACTTTTTATTTAAAAAAAATAAAAGTGAAGAAAGTCATATTGTGTATATAAGTGTATCACGTGATCAAATACACAATGAAAATAATATCTTGTTTCATGCTGGAAAGAAGCAATTAACCTGCCATATATAAAGTTATACGTATGAAGTTCTCGACAAAACATCGTAAATTTGAATCTTTTCTTGTTGCTTTATAGTGCCTCATGTAATGTCTTTGTGTCGTATTTTTCTCATTTAATCGCGTTGTGTGCGTGTCCATTTAATCTCTTATAACTTGTAAACATTTTCTCCAAAAAGATGCTAAATCTCAACTTACTACATATTAATGCATCCAATCTGTGCAAAGAACAAACAATATAACATACATAAATATTTGCGAAAGAGATAGAAATTAAATTAAAGAAATTAAATTAGATCGAAGAGATGAATCTTCGAAATCGAGAATATAATATCAAAACTCAATTCTCTCATTGTTTCTTTTTCATTCACTTATAATTAGTTTTATGGAGCGCGCGCGCTCTTCATCATACACACACCACACACGCACACACAGATTAAATATGTAGAGAAAAAGATTATCTGTTCTAGTTTTCTGCTTTTTATATAAGCGTTTTCATGCTTCCGAATTTTGTAAATGCAATACCAAAGATATGTTAAGAGAGTAATCGAGCCTATAGTTGCAAAACTTCTGTACTCATAGAATAGTATAATTTCGTTTTTATATATGAATCACATAGTAGTTCCTCTATTATTTCATATTATATTATTATTTCCATTTATTTTATATATATATATACACACACACACACACACACACACACACACACACACATTA